CCGGTAGATGGCCATGGCCCGTAAGGATGGTGGTGGAGGCCTCTCCATGTCTGATTTTTTGGTAGAAATTTTAGGAGATGAGAAGGTTTACAGCCATTTTTAAAATAGGGAGAAATATATACAACAGACGGAGCCCCCCTCCGGAGGGACGTCTTGATTTCATCAGGAGCTTAAAGCCGCCTTGAGTTCGGACAGACCGTTGCGGATTATGAAATCCATGTCCCCCCAGCATGCTCGATGGCAGTGTTGAGGAATTCGACAAGAATAATCTTATGTTCAGGCGAGAGATTTTTTTTTTTAGATAATTTCTATCATTGCGGTGTAGAATCGCGAACGTAATCTCTGGCCTGACCCACTTTTCTTCATATTTCATAATTTGAGGAGATGGCTTGGAGTGGAAGAAATTCTCTTGAGGGATCTGGTCGAATGGTCTTGGGAATATCTTCTATTTATATAAAAATGAATGTTTGTATGTTTGTTTGTTTGTTTGTATGTCCGGTATACAAATTCGCAGTAGTTCACTAATTCAAACCAAAATTTCCATACATAGGTAAAAAAAAATACGGGAAGACGATAGGCTATTTTAAAAAATATATAAATCAATTATTAAAACTATATATTCAAATTATTCTACTTAGCTCACGAATAGCGCCCTCTATCAAAGATTAGATTAAATTATGCTGATGCAAACAAATAGATAATGCTAATAACAAACAATTATTTTAAAAAAATCTTATCTAAATATATATCACTCGGGTAGATATGCACACGGGTCAATCCCGGGTCACCCGTCTAGTAAAATGTAAAGAGCGACAGCTTCACATCCAAAGAACCGTGGCTCGCGAGCCGCAGTTTACCAAACCCTGGTCTAAATAGTTGATGCTCAAGGAGAACTCTAGTTATCTCTACTGTACACCCAAGAAATGAACACATGACTGATGATGACAGATGACTCAGCTTGGTGGTCTCCATATCAAGAAACTCACCGGGTTCTCTGTACTACTGAACTGGCTGGTGAGATTGGTGGCCAACACCGTAGTGAGGGACCGCCGTGAACAGCTCATGCGACAGTTGGAGCGGGAGGTGTCTGCAGTACTGCGACAGGAGCTACGACAGCTCGTCCCACCTGTCTGACACTGTCCTACATGGAATAAACTCTCTTTTTCTGTTTACACTTGTCTCATTTACTTTAAATGCGGTTATATAACCGCTCATACAAATTTATTTTTTTGATGAAAACCAAAAATCTTTTTATCAAAAGATTCATATGAAATATATACATGATAGATAAAACTTAAGAAAGTTGTACCTTCAAGCATGTATATCGGGATTATGACAATAACTCTGAAAGATATTACAGTGACCTTTATTGTAGACACACGAGATAACCAAGTGTGAACAAATTTGACTGTCGCCTCCGGTCGACTATTTTTTTTTTAAAGGAGACATAGACAATTTTGTTCACATTTGGTTATCTCATGTGTCTTCAATAAAGATCACTGTAATATCTTTCAGAGTTATTGTTTGAATCCCGATATAAAGGTTAAAAGGTACAACTTCCTTAAGTTTTGTCCATGAGTGTATATACACCTGGTTATCTCGTGTTTCTTCAATAAAGGTCACTGTAATATCTTTCAGAGTTATTGTCTGAATCCCGATATACATGTTAAAAGGTACAACTTCCTTAAGTTTTGTCCATGAGTGTATATACACCTGGTTATCTCGTGTCTTCAATAAAGATCACTGTAATATCTTTCAGAGTTATTGTCTGAATCCCGATATACATGCTGATAGGTATTTTACTTCTCTATCACTATTAATATTATTTACTGTAATTTTAAAAATATCTTTTCGGTTGTAAGTTTTACCATCTTGTATCTTCCATAAAATTGCTTTATCCGATTCAGAAACACACACACGAACAATCTGTATATAATATATACAGTTATAAGCGTCATGCGTTCTTAATTCTGTCACCGTTTGCTTTTGGTTCAGTGGTAGAATGCTCGCCTGCCACGCGGGCGCCCCGGGTTCGATTCCCGGCCTATGCATATTTTTTTTTTACAATTTTTAAAACTCATTTATATATGTCAAGAATGACATCCACGGCGCCAATTTATAATTGTAACGAATAGTATTTGAATAAAAACATTTAATCGGGTAAAACCTGGGCGTTGCCCGGGTCATTCGGCTAGTTTAATTATAATAACATAATCATATGCATTTAAAAAAAATTATAATCTATTCTTAGCCACTCTGTATATTATATCATACTAAATATGGCTCTCAATTAATCGGAATCCAAACATTTTCTTCTTAAATTAAGAAAAGTTAACAACTTAAATTATATGAAAATTCGAAACTATTATAGACGCATATGATTATTTTTTTTAATTAATTAATTTCTACTGTCCTTAATGCAATGGAAAATTAAAGGGTTCGTCACTAATGAGACAGGTCCTCCCATTAATTTTTCATTACAGTAAGGACAGTAGAAATTGTTTAATTTTGAAAAAGAATCATACACGTCTATAATAGTTTCGAATTTTGATAACAGATGGCGCGCTAATGTTTTATAACTTAAATAATACAGGTTTCTAGAGATAAGTCTCTTTTTATTTTATTAATGTAATCTCAAGTTTTCAGGCATCTCTGTCCTTCTTCAGGAGTATGTAAAAACGAATAATAAAAAAATGCCTTTATGTACTTCTGTAGAAGGTCAGAAATGCCCAAAAGCTTGAAATTATATATTTGTTGTTGTTGTTGTTGTGTCCAATGAAGAGCCTCAGATGTCTATGTACATCTCTATCACAGCAGTCGCAATGTCCACTATCTTGGGTGTGTAAAGCTGCTGCTCTGGGTCAATGTCAATTTTGTTGTTGTTGTGGTGTCCAATGAAGAGCCTCAGATGTCTCCGTACATCTCTATCACAGCAATTTTCACTATCTTGTGTGTAAAGCTGCTGCTCTGGGTCCATGTCAATTTTTTGTTGTTATTTTCGTGTCCAATGAAGAGCCTCAGATGTCTCCATACATCTCTATCACAGCAATGTTCACTATCTTGTGTGTGTAAAGCTGCTGCTCTGGGTCCATGTCAATTTTTTGTTGTTATTGTTGTCATGTCCAATGAAGATTCTCAGATGTCTCCATGCATCTCTATCACAGCAGTAGCAATGTCCACTATCTTGGGTGTATAAATCTGCTGTTCTGGGTCCATGTCAATTTTCTGTTGTTGTTGTGTCCAATGAAGAGCCTCAGATGTCTCTGTACATCTCTATCACAGCAGCAGCAATGTCCACTCTCTTGGGTATGTAAAGCTGCTGTTCTGGGTCCATGTCAATTTTTTATTGTTGTTGTGTCCAATGAAGAGCCTCAGATGTCTCCATACATCTCTATCACAGCAGTCGCAATGTCCACTATCTTGGGTGTGTAAAGCTGCTGCTCTGGGTCCATGTCAATTTTCTGTTGTTGTTGTGTCCAATGAAGAGTCTCAGATGTCTCCATACATCTCTATCACAGCAGCAGCAATGTCCACTCTCTTGGGTATGTAAAGCTGCTGTTCTGGGTCCATGTCAATTTTTGTTTGTTGTTGTCGTGTCCAATGAAGAGCCTCAGAATGTCTCCATACATCTCTATCACAGCAGTCGCAATGTCCACTATCTTGGGTGTGTAAAGCTGCTGCTCTGGGTCCATGTCAATTTTTGTTTGTTGTTGTCGTGTCCAATGAAGAGCCTCAGATGTCTCCATACATCTTTCCATCACAGCAGTCGCAGTATCCTCTATCTTGGGTGTGTGAAGCTGCTGTTCTGGATCCATGTCAATTTTCTGAAAGGCTGCAGCCATTGCTGGGCATGAGAATATGTGAGTAGGTGTTAGTTCCACACCAGGACAATTGTCCTATAGGTTCTTGTGCCATCTGGATGTATTGTCATTCCTTTGTAGTGTTTCATTATGAGTCTTGTTATAGTTTTTGTAATGAAATTTTACTAATAAAATAAAATTTACTAATAAAATAAAAATAAACTTATCTCCAGAAACCAGTTGTTTTCTTTAATTTATATACAAGAGATTTAAATAAATTGATATGAAAAGTTAATAAGGTACACGTTTCGGGCTTGTTGGTCCATGTTGCAGGTTATATCTCTATACCACATGGTGAATAAGAGGTATTATGATACATTAGCGCGCCATCTGTTATCAAAATTCGAAACTATTATAGACGTGTATGATTCTTTTTAAAGTTAGAAATTGTTTATTTTTAAAAAGAATCATACATGTCTATAATAGTTTCGAATTTTGAACAAGAGGCATCGCAATGTAAATGGAAAAGAAAGTTTGACTAATATGTATGAATTGTTTTAAACATTAACGATGGAACAGAAATAAATGGTTTGAATATTGCACCACCAACGACCGTTTATTCAACCAATTATGTTAATTTCGTTCTATTTTTTCAAATAATTTATTATTTTAGTTGCAAAGTCATATTAGGAGAGTGACTTCTTTTGTTTATTTTACATTAAGCGTATGGTTTTCATAACATTTTGTTAATTTAAGTTACTTTAAGAGAAAAATATTTCAAAGGTAAAAATAAATTTATTTATTTATATATTTTTATAAGAGATTGTAAAATGTAGCAGAGTGGCGCAGTGGAAGCGTGCTGTGCCCATAACCCAGAGGTCCGTGGATCGAAACCACGCTCTGCTATCTTTTTTTAATTTAAAAAATATATATATATATTTTTAATAAAGGGTGGTCTAAACCGTTGGTTTTCGACCGCTACGACCCGGGTTCGATTCCAGCATTGGGCACTTTTTTATACATTATAAAGGACTGCGGCGGGTGATTATAAACGATACTTAAAGTTACACCGCATAAGTTTCTTTTTCTATGAAAAATCAATATTTATTTCAAAGAGAAATATTTACTATTTCTAACCTTTTTGAATGAATTATGAGAGGGTGAAAATATGAAGAGTAATGGCGATCGGAAAAATAAAAGTGTCCAGGGGCGGGAATCGAACCCACAACCTTCTGCTTACCGGGCAGGTGCCATGTCCACTAGGCTACCCTAGGCCACTTTTTTATGTTAAAGTTTTGCAAAAGTCCAACCCCACCAGCAAGTGTAAATAACCAAACGGGGCTCTGGCACATTTGTAAGTGCAAAGTCGAACTACCTTTCACATGTATAGACATGTGGTGCGCTTACAGTAAAAGCAGTCGCCTACTTCTACCCACCATGATTATCATGGCCTGTACCACGTGTACTATGGATAAGCAAAAAAAAAAAAAGTGTGGTGGAGGGCCTGACTCATCAGTGGTGAACCCTCAAAGCAGTTTCAACAGTATGCATCGTTCTAATGTATAATTAAAGAGAGGTACTTCCCTAGATACATATAGATATCGATATACTGTAGATGGAAAATTTGCCGGGAGGAAATTAATCTATAGAAGCAATGGGCGCTTCTTCCGTCAAAATAAACGTCAGAATCGGTGGATGCTTATCAGTTTACCAAAGCTGGTGTTGTGGCTTTGTCACCGACCCGAGGCCGCTAGTTGCGGCGACGGTCAATAGATGGCGTCAGATTCTGACGTTTATCTACTTATATATTTGCCTTATTCTGTCTGTTTGTTTGTCTGAAGCTCACGGATGGGAATTTTCATAACCATCGGTGGTTCAGTGGTAGAATGCTCGCCTGCCACGCGGGCGGCCCGGGTTCGATTCCCGGCCGATGCATTTTTTTTTTTTTTACAATTTTTAAAACTCATTTATATATTATACAAGAATGACATCCACGGCGCCAATTTATAATTGTAACGAATAGTATTTGAATAAAAGCATTTAATCGGGTAAAACCCGGGCGTTGCCCGGGTCATTCGTATATAATAATTGTATAAACGAATGCAAGACAAAATCACCGCGAATGTTTCTTTTTTTTAAGGCAATTATCGTTATTTATCGTTAATTTTTGTTTCGATTTTATTGAAAAAAAAAACGATATGGTGCCTTTAAAAAATGATCTTTATTACTATGCAGTTTTCTATTTAGTCAATATACCTAAGTTCATGTTGCAAATGTAATTATCTCTATCGATTTAGTAGGTGAAATGCAAAAAAAAAAAAAAAAAAATCGACATGATGAAATCTTTATGAAAATTCACATTTTTATTTTTATATTTTCAAGACACACACAGTTTGGGGCGGGACGTTTCACAAGAGAGACATCCACGGCGCCAATTTATAATTGTAACGAATAGTATTTTAATTAAAACATTTTAAAAACACACAGTTTGGAACGGGACGTTTCACAAGAGTGACATCCATGGCGCCAATTTATAATTGTAACGAATAGTATTTGAATTAAAACGTTTTTAAAATATATACGCACTCGGGTAAAACCCGGGCGTTGCCCGGGCCATTCGTCTAGTTACGTATATATTTGCCTTATTCTGTCTGTTTGTCTGTTTGTTTGTCTGAAGCTCACGGATGGGATTTTTCATAACCATCGGTGGTTCAGTGGTAGAATGCTCGCCTGCCACGCGGGCGGCCCGGGTTCGATTCCCGGCCGATGCATTTTTTTTTTTTTACAATTTTTAAAACTCATTTATATATTATACAAGAATGACATCCACGGCGCCAATTTATAATTGTAACGAATAGTATTTGAATAAAAGCATTTAATCGGGTAAAACCCGGGCGTTGCCCGGGTCATTCGTATATAATAATTGTATAAACGAATGCAAGACAAAATCACCGCGAATGTTTATTTTTTTTAAGGCAATTTCTTTTTAAGGCAATTATCGTTATTTATCGTTAATTTTTGTTTCGATTTTATTGAAAAAAAAAAACGATATGGTGCCTTTAAGAAATGATCTTTATTACTATGCAGTTTTCCATTTAGTCAATATACCTAAGTTCATGTTGCAAATGTAATTATCTCTATCGATTTAGTAGGTGAAATGCAAAAAAAAAAAAAATCGACATGATATAATCTTTATGAAAATTCACATTTTTATTTTTATATTTTCAAGACACACACAGTTTGGGGCGGGACGTTTCACAAGAGAGACATCCACGGCGCCAATTTATAATTGTAACGAATAGTATTTGAATTAAAACGTTTTTAAAATATATACGCACTCGGGTAAAACCCGGGCGTTGCCCGGGCCATTCGTCTAGTTACGTATATGCGTACAAAAAAGAGGCACCTCTCCCTTTAAAAATGCATTTTTGTTTATCATCCCACTATACCAGTTAGCTTTTCCTGAATTTTCCAAAACTAGTGTTGTGGTACATTTTTTATTATCAACAGTACGTTCTGTACTGGGTTAGTAAACAAAAGAAAAGTCGGTGGACAAGTGGGTAACACCCTCGATTCCCGACAGCCATGAATAAGGATCGAATCCCGTGTTGGACACTTTGTTTTAATATGTGAATAACCTTCATATATTATCATTCATTGTTGTAATTATCATAAGCTAGGTTGGTCTTTTTTTAAACAGAACCATGATAAACAAAACCTGATCCAAATACAAATTCAATTTTGTACTATTTTTCACATTGATTGGCCTTCTCACGCCCTTCCGGCCTAAATACCTGTTTCATTGTTTTTCAGGATGCCCCAAAGACCAGCCTTTTTGGTCGTTGAGGTACAGGTTGCACCATGCTGACAAGGGCCAACAGCCCGAAACGCGTACGTGGTTAGCTTTTCTTGATTAATCAATAAACGGTATTTGGCCAATTCTGAAATAATTAAAAATCAACGATTAGTTGATATTTATTCCGATAGATGGCACAAGCCATCAGCAACTTTCATTTGCACGATTAGGAAATGTCCCTTTTCTTAAAACGATC